AGACTTCTTCTGGGGCAGAGCTCTAAGGGAATTTACTTTGTTTTTCTTTTGATAACTCATCTACAGACCAAGACCTTTCTTTGGACACCTCTACCAAGTGATTCTCACTTGTGGCCCAGTCATTCTCTTAAATTAGAGGAGACAAAGTTTCCAATTAAATATTTAGATTCCCCATGTTAATCTTATGGGAGAAAACCCAACTTTGATGGAAGATGCAGCCCGAACTAATAAAGATTAAAAAAAAAAACACTTTGCAAAACCACTGATCAGGGCCATTCTTTTAACATTTTAATCATCAAAATCGGTCCAAAAATGAGGGAGGAGTTCTGTTCACAAAAATCGGCTTAGCGTGTAATATATTTTCATCACTCCGTAACGAAAGTAACTATTTTCGATAACAGCTGACATCAATGAAAGTAGTCGTTTCCCAAGCTCTAATTTAGGGCGAGGAAAAATCGATCAGCTGATTTTCCCTCGCTCTCAATTATTTCTCCATTTATTCTCTACACGCGCTAGTGTTTTGTTAGGTTTAATTTAATGATTTGAATCAGCTGTATGTATTGTTAAAAGTTGTTTTATTCTTTTAGTTTCATGTTTAAACAAAATTTATTGAGAAATATACGTAGGTTTCCTTTTAGAAGATTTAATTTTATTTTGATGTTCAATCAAATTAATTGAGAAATAAAATAGTTGTAATATTACTGAGGTTTGCTAATCTGTGTTTGTGTATTTTTTCGTCGTGATGAAAAGTATCGTCCATAACTCGTACCGAAAAGTTATTATCCGGCACTTGCTCCATTATTCCCGTCCTCGGCTTCGCCTCGTACGTGAAAATAGCTCTCACATACTCGGCTTTGCCTTGCACCTGAAATTGGGGTTCCCTGTGTGAGGCTTCGCCTCACACAAAAACTTGAGCGCACGACGGAAAATGCCACTTTCGGTCCTAGTAATGAAATATAGGCTACTAATACAGGGTGGCTGAAAAGTAACTTGCACCCCCCTTAACTTTTCAACCATTTGAGATATTTGAAATCAGTTTGCGGCAACCTTCTAAGATATGAGGGGCTTCAATAATTATGGTCAATTTTGAAAGTTTTGCCCTTAGGGATAGCGGGGGTAGAGGGTAGCTCAAAATTTTCAAATGACAAGTATAGTCGAGTTTGGTATCATTTTACAGGTCTTGACAAAACATAAACATTGACATAAAGAAAACCAAAATCAGCTCACTAATAACAAAATGGCGCCCTAAAACGATTCAAATCCAAATAACCATGAGGGTGGCAAAAAAATTAACTTGCACCCTCTTTAACTTTTTAACCATTTGAGATATTTTAAATTGGTTTGCGGCAACTTGTTTGGATATAAAAGGCTACAATAATTATGGTCAGCTTTGAAAATTTTGCGCTTAGGGGTAGCGAGGGTAGGGGGTAGCTCAAAATTTTAAAATAGCAGGTATAGTCGAGTTTGGTATCATTTTGTAGGTCTTGACGAAACATAACAATTAACATAAATAAAATAGAAATCGGATCATTAATAACAAAATGGCAGTTCAAAATTACTTTAAGAAACCATTGTTTCAACCATTTTTAGCTGCCATTTTGTTATTAATGGTCCGATTTCTATTTTCTCTATGTTATTTGTTGTGTTTTATCAAGACCTACAAAATGATACAAAACTCGACTATACCTGCTATTTGAAAATTTTGTGCTACCCCCTACCCCCGCTACCCCTAAGCGCAAAATTTTCAAAACTGATCATAATTATTGTAGCCCTTTACATCCAAACAAGTTGCCGCAAACCGATTTCAAATATCTCAAATGGTTAAAAAGTTAAAGAGGGTGTAAGTTAATTTTTTTGCCACTCTCATGGTTATTTGGATTTGAAAAGTTTTAGGGCGCCATTTTGTTATTAGTGGTTTTCTTTATGTCAATGTTTATGTTTCGTCAAGACCTGTAAAATGATACCAAACTCGACTATATTTGTCGTTTGAAAATTTTGAGCTACCCCCTACCCCCGCTACCCCTAAGGGCACAATTTTCAAAATCGACCATAATTATTGTAGCCCCTCATATCTAAGAAGGTTGCCGCAAACCGATTTCAAATATCTCAAATGGTTGAAAAGTTAAGTGGGGTGCAAGTTACTTTTCAGCCACCCTGTATAGACAGATTTTCTTTCAAAAATGTATCATAAGAAATTTAGTAATGTAAAATGTGGGTGGTTATTGTTGGTTGTTGTGTTGCCGTGAGGACTGTTTTTAATTTTTAATTATATATTGTAAGTAGCTTTAATTGCATAAGATGTTAAAATAGTATGTCGTCTTTTAATATTATGCAGAGTAGTGCAAACCTACAGTTGATTGAAGTTATTTTATAAATAGCCCTTTAAAAGTTGTTCTTTTAAGTTCACACTCTAATAATACTTCCAGCATAATTTTGGATATGCATAATCATTATTCATCACAATAACCCGATGTATTTACAATCACGGGGAGTGTCAAGATATTTTCGTGATAACGGGATGCAGTGATCATGTCCAGTGGCGGCTAGTGGGTTAAAGTAGTGGAAGGACGCATAAATTTTTTTGGGAGGTTAATGATACCGAGGGAAGGTATCACAATAAACTGCTTTATTCATTGTTTTCATTGTCTCTTTGTTTAATTGTCCTAACCACTCGCATAATTTGCAGAAATATTTTGAACAGAGTGCAGATTTCATTAGCATTATGCGCGCGCACACACACACACTTCTAGAGAAACAATAGTATACCTACATTAATTAAATAACACCCAGAATACCAGCGGCATAATGAACATAACCTCTACGAATCACTAAACTACATTCACATATTTGACAGATATTGTGTTGACAGTCAACAGGTCGTAGCGCTCAGCGCTCATTGGGGCAATAGGTAAAACTTCTGTTTGGACATAGTCACAAATGCCCTATACCTATTGCATTTGTGCCTGGCACAGTGCTGTGATTGGTTGAATTTTTCTATGCAGTTTTATATGGGAGTTTGGACTCATATCTACTTAGTCCCTGTGTACTACCTGTTGCAAAAATATGTTGCGTCCATTATCGGTGTCCTAAAAACATTGACCCTGCTAATGTTTGTACATTCAAATGTAGGAATAAAAATCATATTTTTGTGATAATTAATAATTATTAAGTTATTAATTATACTATTGCCTAGAAAATGGGAGGACTCCGTTCCAGAGTGCTAATAAACCAGCCGCCACTAATCATGTCTTTGATACCGCGGAGGGATGTCAAGATATTGCTGCAAACACAGGAGGCTATGGTAATGTCTTCGCAACCGCGGAGGGATTTCAAGATATCGCTGCGATCAAAGAGGCAATGATGATGGTGTCTTCACGTCGGCTTAGAAACGTCAAAATATTGTTGCGAACAATAAAGACGACGATGATATCTTCGTGACCGTGGGGGGATGACCATGGTACGATCCTCCCAAATTCTTTTCCATGAACATAGTAATTTCAACATTTCAAATTATTCAACTATCATGACTATTTCATCGTCCTTGTAATTTTTGTATTAGAAAAGGAACCTTCCAAGTAACATTTTGTATTGACAGTTATAGCTGGTGTTTATATTATTTTATTAGTTTAGAAAATCCTTAAAATATTTGTTTTGGTGTCGGTCGGAAGGTGTCAGGTAGATAAGTTCTTTATTTGGGGGGGGGGGGGTTGAAAAAGAGGCAATGTGATATGGGGGGGCATTCACAATCCTGACCTTGGGGGGATGGGCACCTCTGGCAGCATAATTTAATTTATTATTGGAGATACAGGAAAAAGTTAAGCATACAAAATGTAGTCCATCTAAAAATACACATTTAACACTTAAACTCCACACCTCCAAATTGTATAAGGGTACATTTGAGGCCTCAAAAAATAGTTAAATTGTCGGTTCTCGCAGTTAAAGCTGGAACAGGTTCTGACATTTTTCTTCGCAACCTTGTTTAGTATGAACAAAAATTGACTAGGTATCTTGTAACCATAAACCAAACACTTTAGGGCTATACTACACCGACATCTGCTGCGGGAGTACCCCGCGTGGGTGTTTTAACTCGAGCCAAGCCATAAAAAGGTACCAAGGTAAAAAGGGAGTTTTGACGTGATTTTCATAAGAATTGGTTTGACATAATAAACACATCTTACCTATTAAATATGCCATGTCAATTTTCTTGTTTTGAAATTAGTAAAGTGTTTTTAGAAGCAATTGAATGTTTTATTATTTGTTAATGTACATTAATAAGTGAAGTGTAACTATTATTTTTTTATTTGAGACTATATGTTCAAAGTGCAAGCATTTTAAATATGGCTGAGAATAAATTATCCACTTTCACTGGTGTTTTGAAGGTTATTTTCTGATACACTACATGACTAATGACTTTTTTTAATAAAAACATACAATGGAATACTTTTTAATCCAGTTACTAACATTTCAAAATTAATGGAATTTTTTTGCTAGGCCTTCTTTTAAAAGTTCAAATTTACATTGATTGTACAGTTTTGGTTGTTGCAAATTGAAACAGTTCTACGTCTACAATATAAAAATTTGATAGTAAACATTCTTCTTGCATGGTAAACAATCTAGAATTTGTTCTGGTGATAAACATAACAAAAACAATCCATTACATATAGTAGTGAAACGAAAATTCAAAAAACATACATCAACAATCAAAAGAAAAATATTAAATTTAATTTTTAACTGTAAACTGAATTAGGTTTAAACTTTAAAATGGCTTGGCTTTTCGTCCATTCGAGATGTACCTTTGCGCATGAGCTAAACAAAACTCCTGCCACGGTAGTCTCAAAAATCGCTCAGCTAGCGGTTGTGACAGACACTACCTATCGCAGGCGCGCGCTGCGCGGTAGTGCTGTGTGACTTAACCCATTTGTTAACATAATAAGTCATTTTTCAAAGTTCGCTCATGCCACGGTAGCGAGCTCAGTGTGGCCTTTAATTCAAACACCAACCAATTGATTGAGGAAGTTTTCAAAATCTTCTAGTGCAGTTTTGATTCCTAAGTGTATGCAGTCTTGAAATTCTTGTTTTGAAATCCTTGCTCTGCATTTTACCTATAGAACAGATTAAATTTGTTCATGATAATAATGTAGTTTGTAAAAAAGTATAGCTATTTCAATTAAGCGTAAAAAACTGGGGTGAAATAAATAAGGTTACTGACCTGTTGTCAATCAATCCTATTGTTTCTAGTGGATAACTAATTTCAGGGTTTTAACCCCATTTTCAAATCCTTATTTGAATTTTCTTCTCGTCAAACATGAATTACTCAGCACTGGCTGTTGTAAAATTTGACCGAGGCAAGTGCTGAGTAATTCATAATAAGGAGTTGTAAATGGGGTTAAAACCCCGAAATTGGTTATCCACTAGAAACTAGAAATAGAATAGGGTTGATTGACGACAAGTCAGTAACCTTAATTAAGTTATTTAATGAATCCTGGAGGTACATTATGAATAAAACTGGGATAAGTATATGCACCCATTTTAACCATCATAAAATGGTATATATATGGACCTCTCAAGAGCATTTGATAGATTTAGTATATTTTAATAGAAAAATCAAAGAATATTGGCGTTTCAAAAACATCTTTAAATTGGTTTACTGTATTTCATTTCTGGTAAATAGGTAAGGATATGTATACGGTAAGTAAAACATTTGTCACCAAACAACAAATAAGCGAATATGGCTTAAGACCTGGAACTAGTCAAATATCAAATCAAATCAAAATCATCTTTATTCATTTTTATATACAATATGAATACATAAATGGCGTCAATATAAAACTATTACTAAACTTAAAGACTAACATAGTGTTGCTTAGTTTTTGTATGGAATTCATTAAAACTATAAAATGCACCTTCAATTAAAAAAGATTTTAAAACATTTTTTAAATTGCCAGAGGTTATTTTATTTTTAATTGAAATTGGTAGGCTGTTAAAAAAGATAATCCCATTATAGCTTGGCTTCTTTTTAAAAAACTCTTTGTTATGTTTTGTAATTTGAAAATCATGTCTTTGTCTAGTATTATATTCATGTTTGTCGAGATTTTTTGATAATGTGCCAATTATGTTCTTTATATAGAGAATGGTGTTTAAAATATAAAGTCTGTAAACTGTCATTATCCCTAATTCTGAAAAATAAGTTTTACAAGGAGTGTCATATTTTAGTTTTAACATAGTTCTTAATGCTTTTTCTTGCCAACATAAAATTCTATTCATGTTAAAATTTGAAGTAGCTCCATAGACTTCAATGCCATATGTTATGTGTGAATGAATTACTGAATAATAAACCGATTTAATTGTTTTCAAATCACAGAAATTTGACAGTCTCTTTAAAGCAAAGATCCCAGAACTTATTTTAGAGCAGACTTTATTAACGTGACCTGTCCAATTAAGAGTACAGTCCAACGCTAAACCTAAAAAATTCGTATTTTCACAAAGGTTGAAAGGTGGCGCTATTGAAGTAATAGATTTTGACTTCCTGCAAGAAAATTTAATAATTTTTGTTTTATTTTTATTAATTAATAAATTTAAGCTATTTAGTTGGTCATTAATTATATTGATTGCAGTGCCAATTTCAGAAAAAACTTTATTAATATTTCGGTCAGAGATTGTTAAATTAATATCATCGGCAAAAATACTGAAATTGTTATTAGCTGTAAGTGTATGTAGACAGTTTGGCAACTTTCCCAAATAGCAAAGAAACAAAAATGGTCCAAGGACAGAACCTTGTGGTACAGAATAATTAATAGATCTGGTTTTTGAATTGATTTTAAAAGCTTTATTATTTTCAATGTGTGATATTTCTACATATTGTTGGCGATCTGTTAAATAAGATTCCAACAAAGCTAATTCTTTGCCAGATATACCAAAGGAAGTTAATTTTTTTAATAAAAGTGAATGGGAAACACTATCAAAATCCTTTGTTAAATCTAAAAAAGCAGCTACTGATTGGTTACCTTCATCCAGTTCGTTAATCACATTTTCAACAAAGGCTATTATAGCTGTTACAGTGGATTATTTTTGCCTAAAACCATGCTGTTCAGTGTCTAACAAATTATTATTTTCAAAATATTCTGTCAATTGTAATAACATGCATTTTTCAAAGAATTTTGACAAAGAGGGTAGAATTGAAAGAGGCCTATAATTAGACGGTTCATTTTTGTTTCCTTTTTTATATAATGGAATTATTTTGGATATTTTTAACTGAGAAGGAAAAACACCTGAAATGAGGCATGCATTTATAACATGAAGAAGTGGTTTGAGAATTGCCCACTTAGCATCTTTAATTATTTTTGTTGGGATATCATCACACCCAGAGGACCATTTGCTTTTGATTGAATTTATTATTTGAATCAACTCCTCTTCTGAAATGGTTTTGAACCTAAAAGTATGATTAGTTAATACTGCATCTGTTATTGGTCTATTTATTATTCTCTTATTCATTTTAATTTCAGGAATAATTATATTCTCTACAAGGTCAGCATAAAAATTATTCAATATGTTGACTACTTTATAAGGATCAGTGACACATTTACCTTGGTGGTTTAAAAATAGCTCTGTTTTTGTTTGATCCTTGCTACTGTACAGTTCCTTCTTGATCAATTGCCAAATAAATTTTGTAGGGTTATCTGATTTATTTATTATGTTTTCAAAATATTGCTTTTTCTTTTGTATTACAAGATTTCTGTATTTCCTTTTTTTGCATTTTTAAGTTTTTTTTTACACAAACATTTTTATTTCTCCTTTTTTGTCTATAGTTATCTATGAGCTTAGTCCATTCATGTTTTATTTCCCAATCAATCCAATTTTTTCTTTGGGGGTTACTTCTAACATTTATTTTTGGAAAGTTTTTATCAAAATGATAGTTCAATACATTATAAAAATATGAAAATTTGTTATAAATTGGTGTTTGATATAGTTTGTCCCAATTTTCATTTGTCAAATCATTCACAAAGTTTTCAATATTTGGTTTTTTAAAACAACGTTTCATTTCCCACAGCCTTATATTTTTATTTTTATTTTTGACATTATCCAATTCAAGAATTTGCCCGTCGTGGTCAGAGAGTGCAGTTACAATACAAATTACCCTTACATATGTCTTATTAATATTTGTAACAAAGTTACCTATTGCCGATTCACAACTATCAGTTATTCTAGTAGGAATATTTACTGTGTAATAAATGTTATGTGTCTTAAGTAAACTAACAAAATAAATTTTTTTACAATCATCGGTCAATACATCAATATTAAAATCTCCTCCAATGCATAAATTAGTATTAAAACTTGATAGAAAACATAAAAGTTTGTCCAGGTTTTCTAAAAAACCAGCAATATTTCTTGAAGAAGTTCTATAAATGCCAGCTACAATAACCTTAACATTGTTCAATTCTAATTCGACTGCACATGATTCAAAAATCTTATCTGTGTTTAAATTATCTATTAATGAGATTGTTAAATTAATATCATCGGCAAAAATACTGAAATTGTTATTAGCTGTAAGTGTATGTAGACAGTTTGGCAACTTTCCCAAATAGCAAAGAAACAAAAATGGTCCAAGGACAGAACCTTGTGGTACAGAATAATTAATAGATCTGGTTTTTGAATTGATTTTAAAAGCTTTATTATTTTCAATGTGTGATATTTCTACATATTGTTGGCGATCTGTTAAATAAGATTCCAACAAAGCTAATTCTTTGCCAGATATACCAAAGGAAGTTAATTTTTTTAATAAAAGTGAATGGGAAACACTATCAAAAGCCTTTGTTAAATCTAAAAAAGCAGCTACTGATTGGTTACCTTCGTCCAGTTCGTTAATCACATTTTCAACAAAGGCTTTTATAGCTGTTACAGTGGATTTTTTTTGCCTAAAACCATGCTGTTCAGTGTCTAACAAATTATTATTTTCAAAATATTCTGTCAATTGTAATAACATGCATTTTTCAAAGAATTTTGACAAAGAGGGTAGAATTGAAAGAGGCCTATAATTAGACGGTTCATTTTTGTTTCCTTTATTATATAATGGAATTATTTTGGATATTTTTAACTGAGAAGGAAAAACACCTGAAATGAGGCATGCATTTATAACATGAAGAAGTGGTTTGAGAATTGCCCACTTAGCATCTTTAATTATTTTTGTTGGGATATCATCACACCCAGAGGACCATTTGCTTTTGATTGAATTTATTATTTGAATCAACTCCTCTTCTGAAATGGTTTTGAACCTAAAAGTATGATTAGTTAATACTGCATCTGTTATTGGTCTATTTATTATTCTCTTATTCATTTTAATTTCAGGAATAATTATATTCTCTACAAGGTCAGCATAAAAATTATTCAATATGTTGACTACTTTATAAGGATCAGTGACACATTTACCTTGGTGGTTTAAAAATAGCTCTGTTTTTGTTTGATCCTTGCTACTGTACAGTTCCTTCTTGATCAATTGCCAAATAAATTTTGTAGGGTTATCTGATTTTATATTATGTTTTCAAAATATTGCTTTTTCTTTTGTATTACAAGATTTCTGTATTTCCTTTTTTTGCATTTTTAAGTTTTTTTTTACACAAACATTTTTATTTCTCCTTTTTTGTCTATAGTTATCTATGAGCTTAGTCCATTCATGTTTTATTTCCCAATCAATCCAATTTTTTCTTTGGGGGTTACTTCTAACATTTATTTTTGGAAAGTTTTTATCAAAATGATAGTTCAATACATTATAAAAATATGAAAATTTGTTATAAATTGGTGTTTGATATAGTTTGTCCCAATTTTCATTTGTCAAATCATTCACAAAGTTTTCAATATTTGGTTTTTTAAAACAACGTTTCATTTCCCACAGCCTTATATTTTTATTTTTATTTTTGACATTATCCAATTCAAGAATTTGCCCGTCGTGGTCAGAGAGTGCAGTTACAATACAAATTACCCTTACATATGTCTTATTAATATTTGTAACAAAGTTATCTATTGCCGATTCACAACTATCAGTTATTCTAGTAGGAATATTTACTGTGTAATAAATGTTATGTGTCTTAAGTAAACTAACAAAATAAAT